TTTTTTTCTAGTTTTCTATGTTTAAACCTGTATTTCTGATATGCATGACTTGTGCAGGATGTTGTTGAAATAATGAAAGAATCGTTATACGACAAATATGTTGACGAGAATGGCCTTGTCGATTTTGGGCGTAGTGGGGGAATGAGTCAACAGAAAGAAGCCAAGAGATTCTTAAGTGCCTTGAATAAACAATCTGAATCGAAGCAAAAAGATTGTTTCTCTATATCTGTAAGTCGTTCTTGATCTGCGAACTTAATTCTTCAAAATTAATCTAGACTTGATGGAACAAATGCAAGTGGAGAAAACTGAAGATATCTTACTATGTGCCATCTGGATCATTTACTCAGGAGCTATACAGTTTGGCAGATAACATCAGTTTAAGAGTTTCAGATATCGACACCTTAGTGGATAATTTAAACACTGCTGGTTATCTATTGAAGAAGGGCCCAAGGTTGTATCAGGTACTACGCTATTTCAGCTACTCGGATTAGTATCCTATGAAATTTTTTATTATTTCACCTTAATTTTGTGCCGTCACATATAATACAGTATACTGCTGCATGAACATTCTCAAAAAATTATAATGCTGCAGGTGTTATCATCATCTTATTCGCGAAGTCAGTCGTCAAGGTCTAGATGATATGTTCTGCTCGATGTAACACAGTTAGGTTTCGAAAGTGGGACAATGTAAGAACTTCTACAAAGGATGATTATTGCTCATTCATTTGCAACTATTGCTGCTGGTTGAGTATGAACATAGTCTATAATTTGTAATTCATTTTATGCTGGGAACCATCAGTTACTATGAATTGTGAGTTCATCACATTAAATGCTTATTGATTATGACTCCATCAGTATATATGTGTTAAACAAGCCGTGAATCAATGAAAAAAAATCCAAGCTACAAAAATATAATCTGCAAGGCATCAAAATTCAGAAACATTAATAATTTATAGAAAAACATATACTTATCAGACAAAAGGGAATGAAAAAGCATAAACTCACTTAAAAACTCAAACAAACCCAGCCACAGAACAAGCCACCAAAATCGTCTTAGCTCTCAACACACCACCAAAACAGCACAACACTAACCCTCACACTTTCTGTTTCTTGTTCTTTG